CTAAACTCTGATCCACAAACATCAGATCTGGACTTTAGCACCCGGTTCTGACCCGTTACCCGGTTCCTCCAGTTGGTGTTTGTAGAACATGTTGATGGTCTAAAGGGATCTGAGAACATCTAGAACCTTACCCAGACGGCCTGTGGCGGGTTCTGACGTGTTCGCGGGTCATCAGTGAGAGACTGAAGGTCTGCTGGGAGGAGGTTTTAGAGGATCTTTCCCAGGGGGACGTCCAGCCGGTCCAGAATTATTGAAGGTCTGAAACGGGACCTTTGAGAACCGTCATTTTTTTATCACCCAGGCCCAGTTTGGACCCGGCTGTTGGTTCTGGACGGTTCTCCCAACAGAACCCTACCAGGCTAGCTTTAGCTTCCTGCTACCTTCTCTGCTGCTCTGTGGTTCACCCAGCAGTCCCAGTATGGAGCTGGAACTGGCTTCACAGAAATCTACCATCAAATGACGCCCCTCCCCCACCCGTCTCTTAATCCCTGAATAAACCAGCAGACTTTTTCATCTCTGGTCCCATTTTTCCCCCATTTCACGTGTGCTGGTGAAGATTCGCAGGAATCCAGGTCAGTTCCAGAAAATAAAAATAAATAATGGGAAATAGTTTTAATGAGTGTGAAGCACAGATCTGCTCCTCCTGCCTAGTCAGAGCCGCTCTATACGCAGTCAGTGGGACGAGGACATTCTAATAAAACCAGGCTTTGCTGGGCTGCTGGATTAAACCTGGAACTATTTCTGACATTTTGAACTGAAGAATCTTCCTGGATGGAAGAGAAACTTCTTCAAACGTGGAAACAAAGTCCAGAGGATTGATTTTAACGTTTCCATTGACTGCGAATAGAGAAGCTCTGACTAGACAGGAGGAGCAGATCTATGCAGATTGTTTTCACTCTATGCTAGAGACACATTGCATCTATTGCCCACATTCTCATTCTATAAAGCAAAGCTCCACTCAACGAGTCTGTGCAGCTTCTAGAACTAGAACAGATAGAAAAGGTTCATCTATTAAAAACATAATGAGATCTACGTCTAAAGAAAAGAAAATCGCAGCAATAAGCTCTGTGGGACGGTTTCTATGGCGACTGAGAGGTGATTCTCAGAGAGATCTGGAAAGTTTTTCTATCTTTTTCCATAAAGAGGAGAGATAGATCCGCTGCGCTGACCTGCTCTGTCTGCTCCTCCTCATTCTGGAGGATCTCTACTTTATCCGTTTCTGTCCTGATCTCCCATCATGCTCCAGTCGGTCCTGCTCACTATAAACGCGACGGGCGACTCCAGACCGACTCTTTCTCCGTCAGATTAACTGATTTTATTTTCAATTTTCCCCAAAACGGATGAGTTTTATACGACAGAGTATTAGAGAGAGATTTTTTCTTCTGTTATGAGAATAAAGTCATCATACAAAAACCCGTTTCAGAAAGAAAGTTTGAAGCTCCGCCCAGCAGATGACGTCAGACCAGCTCCACCAATCAGCAACCAGAGTCCACTTTGACATGGAGACAGTTGGCATTAAAAATACAACTTGTTTCTCAAAATTAAATGACTTTATACTCTTTATATTGTGACTTTATTCTCCTAATTTTATGACGTTCTCGTTGCGACTTTTCTCGTAATATTACGACTTTATGCCC